ATACTCTTTAGTCCATTCATATCTACTCAGCAATGACTTGTTTGAGCCTAGTGGGCTTTGGCTAAATATGGCTCATCAAGGATGGGATTGGATGTGCCTTGTTTGTCGATTAACATTTTCTTATACTCGGCTCCCACAATTGCCCCTAGAGCACCTGGTTAGTTAATATCCCAAGTATCCTATGTGCTCAGCTTTTTCTTGACCTACGCATGCGACTAATTATGTTAAACTTGGATTACACCCTATAGGCCTTGAAATTTAGGCGCATGATGGATACGCCATCATATATCTGACATGATGGATGGGACATGATGAAGAATATATAAAGCTTCCCACCTCTTTACGTTCTTCTGACCCTTCATTAATTGTGATTTCAAAAAATCGTCACTTCCATCCCTTCGTTTTCGAAAAGACTCCATTCTTACAACCTTTCACTTCCAACCTCTTGATTGCAACTGCTTCAATCTTCATTTGTTCGAGCACTTTTATTAGAACCTACAAGTTTTCAGAGCCTTTTCTCTTATTTCATTTTTTGTATTTTCATGATTTTTGACCTTGCTCCACCTTTGGTTCATTCTTTTGCCTTCGATTCTTTCATTCTCTAACACATTCATGGCGAACTACTTAAAGGCTCTGCTTTTTTAGAGTAAGGTTGCATCTTTCCATCGCTATTACGCGATCCCTGACAACGTTCAACTAGAACTCATCGTGGACACGGTCGTGAACCTTGAGAGGTCTGACACTAGCACCATAGTCTTTCTATTATTAGCGATTGCCTAGGGCAGAGTGCAATTTCCCCCTCATTCCTTTCTTCAATCTGTTCTTCGCTTTTGGGGGTTGATTCCTTCTTAGCCAAACGTAAATTTCTACCAAATAATTTTGAGTATTATAGAACGTAACAGCCGATTGAACACCAACCTTTGCATCTATAATGATTTTGGTTTAGACCCGACCCGTTTATCGTTTTGGATCTAGGATTCCTAATCTTAAATGGTTGTTCATACCCTTATATGTCCTATTCTTGGTTGAGTTTGGTTATTTGGATGTCATTGTTGCATTTGGAACAAGTTGGGAGTTTGTTTTTTAAAAGAGTCTTTGCCCAGATTTTGGTCAGCTCGCTCGAGCTGTCCTTTGGTCGCTCGAGCGGTCTTTGAGAACTTTCAATATAATTACAGATCTGCAAAAGTATTGGGAAGGTAATGTTTTTCGCTTGAGCAATGTTTCTTGTGCTCGAGCAATCTTGGTTCGAGCGGTCCTTCTTGAGCTCGAGCAGCTAGCCCCTGTCTGCAAAACCTCTGGGAGGGTATCATTGTGCGCTCGAGCAGTAATTTTGTTCGCTCGAGCAGTCTCACTTGTTGTGTCTGGTCGCTCGAGCGGTGTTTTGGTTGCTCGAGCGGTCTACGCGTATATCAGTTCGTAAAAGTCACTTTTTGGATCACTTTTTCATCTCTCTCCCTCTAAACATTTAAAAACCCCAAATTTTCTTGATCTCTCTCTAGAAACCATCTTTAAATCTCAAATATACTATCATCCATTGATCTTTACACCCTAGTCCCTTTGATAAAAAGGGAGAGCTCACCTAGAGCTTCATTTTAATCGGAGCAAAGTTGATTTTCGGCTTCGACGAGGTTTCTTCACTCGCTCTATTGTCTTCTAGTCTTGAGGTAGAGATTTCTTCACACTTTTGTATGGTTTTCAACTTGGTTATTTGTTTTTCTAAACAATATTGTGATCTAGGAATTTTTGAACAAAATCTAGGATTTTGGTTTAAAAATTAAAATAGGGGTTTTCAAGTGAGTTCTTGAATATGGTTGTGGATTTGTAAATGTGGTTGAGTTATGATAAAATGGTGGATTTTTATCATTGGAATTAATTTATAAAGGAAAGGGAATTTTGCCCTAAAATGTGAATATTTAAATTTGTAAAGAGGAAATGGAAATGATATGGGTTTTGTGAAATCGGAATGATGATGATGATGGAGGAGTTGGATATGCATTATCACTTCCATCTTGAAATTTTGGAAAGTTTATTATTATTGGAAATTATATATCTATTTAGAGATATTTGTTTTGGGTTATCGTTGGAAGATAGTTATGATTGTTGTAGAAATTGCATGAGAATTAAGAGAATTGAAATTCATTTCTCATCCATTGGCATTGAGCATTGTTGCATACTTAACACATTAAAAATGTATATTGTTTTGAGAAAAAAATGGTGAATACCTTGGTGAATCTAGGTATGGGTGTGGTTGTGGTATTATTGTTAGCATGTGTGTCCTTGGTGAAAGTCCAGAAACCCTCGTGGATGGGTGTCGATCCTTTCAATTAGTATCGATAAAAATGACAATTGGTAGTACTTGCATAGCCTACTTACAGACACGTACCTAAAGATTCTCAGTGCTTGTATCCATTGCCCTGTTTTTTTATTGTGAAGAACGTGTTTTTATGAATTATGATATAAACCTGGTATTGCATGGTTTCGAAAAGAGATATAAAAATGTTTTGGCACGAGTATTGCATTTGCATTCCCCTTATAACTTTGTTAAGATTCATACACTGTGTTAGAATATCTCTACTGGGTTTTGGCTCACCTTATGTGGAAATCCATTTTCAGGTGCTGATGATATGCCTCCGCCAAACCCATAGCTTGGAAGGACTTGGAGCCAAGAGCTTTTTGCGTTGTTATTATTGTATTTATTTTTGTACAAGCCTATGGCTTTAATTGTATTGAGTTTAAACTCACTTTGGTTGTGACCAAGTATCGTCTTAAAAAGTTGTAGCCACTAGGGCATTTATATATCTGTTTAACTTTTCTTTCATATCATTAATTTGTGGCACATGCTATAGATTCATGGTTAGAAGTTATGAATATATAACTGCATATGTTACCTTTTGTACAATGTAATCATATGAATGGAAGATAACTATTTCAGTGCATGTTGTTATTTAATTAATATCATGAGATAGTTTTATTATTATATTTTTGGGACGTTACAGCATCCCTACCATTTGACACTGCTATGCCCTCGCCGAGTCATCCAGTCGACAAGGGCAATTCTTCATGAGGGCTAAAGATGTCCACCACCAATTGGTGACCATGCTTGCCGCTTGGAACAAAAGGTAAATGACGTCATGGTCCTTGTCTGTGGCAACTGGGAATTCAGAGCGAAAGAAGACCCCTCGGACCTAATTTCTAGGCAAAAAGGTGAACTAAGTGGCCGAGTAGTTGCAAATTAATTTTAATTTTATTTGGCTTCCAATGTTCTAACAATTTCTTTTTTGAAGGTAACGATCTCAAAAAAGTGATTATCTTAGAGGACGAGGCTGTTCTCGCCCAAGTCAAGACCGTCCTTGACTATACTGGCCGAAAGAACCTCCAAGGATAAGGTTGTGCCGCCCATATTCTACTTAGATATGATCCTTCTTACACCTCTTTCGCTGCTACCAATCATATTTCGATTCTTTAAGGTGAACGGCAGCTCACAGCTCTAGTTTTTGAAAGTTATGTCAACTTGAGGGATATAGGAGTGGTTGAAGCATTAGATAGTTAGAACAACGAAGAGAACGCTGAAGTAAAATAGGGCGCAAATAATCAAGACGCCGAAAACAGAGGACTTGATTTCTTCAGAAACTGGTAACTGAACATTCATTATTTGTTTGGAAACAGGTAACCGAACATTATTCATAGGTTCAGACCTGTTTTACTGAGAAAACTAAACCAATTATTATAATTTTTTTTGCAAGAGAAGAAATTATTATGAGAAAACTAAGAAATTATGTGCATATATATATATATATATAGAGAGAGAGAGAGAGAGCATACCAACTGTGACAATGGTAAATGAGGCAGCAGAGAGAGTAATCACAATGTCTCTTCTTCTTCTTCTTCTTCTTCTTTGTGGGCTTTGTTAGGAGTTTTTTTGGAAGTTGGGTTTTTTTGGGGTATAAGGGGTGTGTATTCAATGGGTGGTATGTTTTTATAAAAATAATTTTGGTATTATTTTTTTTGGGGAAAAGAAATTTTAAGGGTTTCAAAATTTATAAGTAGAGGTCCAAAGAAATGTGAGGTCCAAAATAATTCATGGGGTGCTAATAGCACTACTCATATTTTAATGAGAGGATTAATAATATGAAATACTATAAATACCCTTTAGTGTTTTTAATATATTTTAATATTAAAAATTATATTTTATAGATATATTATAAACTATTTTCATATGAAATAAATATGAATGAGAGGGGAAAAAAAATAGCCTGCGGTTTTACCATGATTTTGAAACATTGCATTGAAATATTCCATCCAATTAACACAACCCAATTGACAGACCCAGCTTTTGATCCAAAAAAAATAAAATAAAATTGATAGACCCACCTTTGCCAATAATCCATCAACCCAGCTTTGAATACCATCTTCTCTATAGTCCGCTTGTGCAAAGATTTTCATAATTTGAACGGACTTCGAATTTGGATCTTCATTTTGCAAACAAACATGATATTAGTACTCTTCACCTCACCAACAATCCAGTCCGGCCTTTAATTTTGAAAAACAAACATCCCGACCAGATTCAGTTCCCGCTAGTTTTTTATTTCCAAGTAGATATTTTTCCCGACCTACCCCAAAAATATATACCTAATGAGATAGCAAATACGTCTTTAGAAAAACCTTTGGCTTTGTATTTGAAACCCTAAATATTATTTCTTGATAGGCGGTAACTCTATAAAACCTTCGAGATTTTGCAAAATAATGGAAATGAACCAAGAAGTTACACACACACAAAAAAAAGAAGAAGATTTGACCTGAATATCAAAGCTCGGAGGGAAGCTGCAGTTAGATTTTGATGATAAGCGATAGTACTTGTTACATCTTTTGTATAAGCTAAGCTGCCATTGCATCTCTGCCAAACTCCTACTGTCCCCTGTTCAATATTTAGTGTCATAAAAATTTTACTGATCAAAATTTTCTCCAGTATGTGAAATTTGATGTTTCATTAGTTCTACATACCGATCGAAATTTGAGAGCTTCTTGGACAGTCTCGTTATTTGCCCATATCTCGGAGAGAACATAAAGGTAACCTATAAAAGAAGAAGACTAGTTGGGCATTTTATTATTTTATTTGACTAAATAAGAAATGAAATTGCATACCAAAAGAAAAATTAAACAAGAATTTTTGTGTTACAAGGTAGGTTTACCCGGCAAAAATATGCAGGACCAATAGGTTGTAAGCGGAGGGGATCTTTAGGGTGCTCTTTGAGAGATCTTTGACGCCATTTTCCCTCATGTGGTCTCGGGGGTGTGTCCTCACAATAAGGTTCCAAAACTTGTACCAAATTTATGTCTAGGATCAACTGTATATTAAAAATATAATCCTTGTTCTCAGTATCTTCAAACTAAAGACTGAGAAGAAAAATAAATAAATAAAATGATAGTCCCTCTAACCTCATCAATGGCTTCCATATTTAATTTACAATCTTCATTATCTATATTCACATAATCACCATTGCAACTTGCTTTTGCTGCCTTGAAAATTCAAAAAAAATTGCAGATCTTTTAGAATGATACCATTCAATTGAAAGATATGAGCTTTTTAATGTAATATTTGATCATATGGTTCTTGATGGCTTGAAAACCAGGGACAATTAGTTAAGCGAAATGCACAAAGGCAAATAGAGAAAATGATAAGTTTCATGATTGTATGAAGTCTAAAACTATTGAACAAAACTGAAAACAAAAATTAAAAGATCCATTAACAGAAGTGTCCAAAGGTTTTCTTGAAAATGGATGTGGGAAAAAAATAAAAAATAAAAAACATTACCAAAATGCTTGGAAGAAATTTCCTTAGACCCTTTACCAAAATGCTCATTGTTGCTAAAAGGCCTTTTTGAAACAAGACCTCTAAAGATTTAGCATGTGAAAATGCACAAATCTATTAAATTAACCAAACATACCTAATATTTTTCAACTTCTTGTGTCTACGAATCTATGTACTATGGTTCCATGAAGACTTGAGGAAGAACTTTGAAATCTAAAAACCCCGGAGCTATTGATTTGTGATTATGATTCATTTTTAAACAATGAATAGTAATCCTAATCAAACAATCAACAAGAAATCAGCATAACGATTTAATGTGGAAAAAGCCACAATTGGACTCCTCCAATTGTGATAAAAAAAAATCACGGGCTAAAGCCACAAAACAATCCACTAAGAAAAAAAAAAGAATTACACACGAGAACTCTCAATTACTTAGTGAATCCACG